TCCTTTGGATTAATGGAGGATATTTTATGACTCTATTATGACTCTATTTTATCTCCACTGTTGTCTTATAATGTATATTTAAATTTAAACAATTTTAGTGGTTATTCCAGGTTTGAAATATACATCTTTAATTAATCAAAACCTACCTGCAAATCATAATATTGTGCTCCAAATATAGTATAAGGGCCTTACAAGAGTATACTTGCATATCTTCTATAATATCGTCCTACATTGTACTTCTACAGAGGCCAGACGCGTACAATACATGGCTAGTATATCCGCTTTAAGTCAGCCCACGCCGAGCCTGCACTTGTTTTTGTTAAGTCAGGTCTTACTGGGGTACAGCTATATAGTCAATAGCTCGGGTGTCATCTGCCGCTGCTTCTGCTCTATGTGGCCACGGTGAGCAGTTGCCACACAAACTGAATGGCTTGCAAAATCTAAAATATACACTATCTGGTTCTTTACAAAAAAAAAAAAAATTCACCAATGTCTGCTTTAGATAGTCTGTTATCTTCTTGGGCAACTAAAAACAAGATAAAAGTCTTTTTTATATTTACCTTGATTTTTTCATTTCCAGCTTGTTTTTATGTGTCTATCCAAGTTCTCTCTGGTATCATATTCTTGCCTGAAGAACTTCCCTTAACATTTTTTTTCTTTTGTAGTGTTGGCCTCCTGGCAATGAATTTTATGGTTTTGTTTTTCTAAAAAAGTCTATATCCCTTCTTCTTTTTTTTTTTAATTGAGGTAAAATTCATATAACATGAACTTAAACATCAACAACTTCAATGTACAATTCAGTGACGTTTAGTGCACTCACAATGTTGTGCAACCATCTCCTCTGTCTAGTTCTGAGACATTCTCATCACCCCAAAAGGGAACACTCTCCCCATCAAGCAGTCACTCCCCGTTCCCCTCCTCCCTGCAGCTCCTGGCAACCACCAGTCAGCTTTCCGTCTCTGTGGACTGATGTATTCTAGATGTTTCATATAAATGTAGTCATACCATATGTGATTTTGTGTCTGGTTTCCTTCACTCAGCATAATGTTTTTGGGGTTCATGCATGTTGTGACATTTATCAGTGCTCATTCTCTCTTTTTTTATTATTTATATATATTTTTTAGTAATCTCTACAACCAGTGTGGGGCTCGAACTCACAGCCCTGAGATCAAGAGTCTCATGCTCTTCCGACAGAGCCAACCAGGTGCCCCTCATTCTCTTTATGGCTGAATAACTTTCCATTGTATGGAGATGCCACGCTTTTGTCTATCCATTCATCAACTGTTTCCACATTTTAGTTATTGTGAATACTGCTGTGTTAAACATTCGTGTGCAAGTATTTGCTCAAATCCCTGTTTTTAATTCTTTCGGATATGCCTAGGAGTGGAATTGCTGGATCATGTGGTAATTCTGTGTTTAACATCTTTTTTAAGTTTTATTTATTCGTTTGAGAGAGAAAGAGAGAATGCACGAGCTGAGGCAGGGGCAGAGGGAGAGAGAGAATCCTCAAGCAGACTCCCTGCTGAGCACAGGGCTCGATCCCAGAACCCTAGATCATGACCTGAGCCGAAATCAAGAGTCGACCACTCAACTGACTGAGCCACCCAGGCGCCCCTGTGTTTAACTTTTTGAGGAACTATCAAACTGATTACCACAGCAGCTACACCATTTTATATTCTCACCAGCAATGCACAAGGATTCACTTTTCTCCACATCATTCACTTGTTATTTTCTGATTTTTCAATTATGGACAACCTAATTGGTGTGAGGCGGTATCTCATTGTGGTTTTGATTTGCATTTCCCTGATGACTAATGATGTTGAGCATCTTTTCATGCTCGTTGGTCATTCATACATCTTCCTTTTTTTTTTTTTTAAGATTTTATTTATTTATTTGACGGAGATAGACACAGCGAGAGAGGGAACACAAGCAGGGGGAGTGGGAGAGGGAGAAGCAGGCTTCCCGCAGAGCAGGGAGCTCGATGCGGGGCTCAATCCCAGGACCCTGGGATCATGACCTGAGCCGAAGGCAGACACTTAACGACTGAGCCACCCAGGCACCCCATTCGTACATCTTCTTTGGAGAAATATATACTCAACTTTTTTGCTCACTTTTAATTGAGTTGTTTGCCTTTTTGTTGATGAGTTAGACTAGATACATATATTCTAGAGATCTAATCCTTATCATACATGTGATTTGCAAATATTTTCTCCCGTTCTGTGTGTTGTCTTTTTATTCTCTTGATAATGTCCTTTGAAGTACCAAAATGTTTCATTTTGATGGAATCGAACTTACTGACTTTTTCTTTGGTTGCTTGCACCTCTGATGACATAGCTAAGAGACCGTTTCCATGCCCAGGTCATGAATATTTACCCTTATGTTTTCTTCTAAGAGTTTTTTAGTTTTAAGCTTTTATATTCAAGTCTTTGATCCTTTATAGTTTTTATATATGGTGTGAAGGGTCTAAATTCATTCTTTTGTATGTGGATATCCAGTTCTTTTAACACCATTTGTTGAAAAGATTGTTCTTTCCACATTAACGTTCTGGGCCCCTTTGTTGAAAATCAATTAACCATAGATGTAAAGGTTTATTTCTGGACTTTCAATTTTATTCTGTTGATCTATATGCCTATCCTTATGCCAATACCACACTGTTTTGATATCTGTTGCTTTGTAGTAAGTTTTGAAACTGGGAAGTGTGACTCCTCCAACTTTGTTCTTTTTTAAGATTGTTTGGTCCACTCGGAGTCTCTTGAAATTCCATATGAATTTGAGAATCAGCTTTTCCATTTCTGAGAAAATGGCCACTGGGCTTTTAATAGGGACTGCATGGAATCTGCAGATCACTTTGGGGAGGATTGCCATCTTTACAATATTAAATATTCCAATCCATGAACACGAGATGTCTTTCCATTTATTTAGTCTTCTTAATTTCCTTCAGCAGTGTTTTGTGGTTTGCAGGGCATACGTCTTGCATCTTTTTGGTTAAAGTTATTCCCAAGTATTTTTATTCATTTTGGTGTTATTGTAAATAAAATAATTTTTTAAACCTCCTTTTTGGATTGCTCATGGTAACTGTATAGAAATAAAATTGAGTTTTGTGCGTTGATCTTGTACCCGGCAACTTTGCTGAAAACCCATAGATTCTTTAGGATTTTTCTATACATAGATTATGTCATCTGTGAAGAGAGATAGTTTTACCTCTTCCTTTTGAATTTGGATACTTATTTTTCTTTGTGATTGCTCTGCCTAGAACTTCCAGTACAGTGTTGAAAAGAAGCAGTGAAAGTGGTATCCTTGTCTTATTCCTGATTTAAAGGGAGAAGCTTTCAACCTTTCATCATTGAGTTAGCTGTGAGTTTTTCATCTACAGGTTTTTTTTTTTTAAGATTTTATTTATCTGACAGAGAGCACAAGCAGGGGGAGTGGGAGAGGGGGAAGCAGGCACCCCACTGAGCAGGGAGTCCGATGTGGGGCTCGATCCCAGCACCCTGGGATCATGACCTGAGTCACCCAGGCGCCCCTCATCTACATTTTTAATCATGTTAAAGATGTTGCCTTATATTCCTAGTTTGTTGGTTTCTTTATTTAAATCATAAATTTTGTCAAAGGTTTTTTCTGCATCAATTGGGATGATCACATGGGTTGCTTTTTTTTCACCCGATAAATGTAGTGTTTCAGACTGATTTTCATGTGTTAAACCGTCTTCACATTTCTGGGATGAGTCTCACTTGGTCATTCACTGTAATGTGTTGTTGGATTTGGCTTGCTAGTTTTGCTGCGTATGTTTGCATCTATGTTCATCAGGGATATTGATCTGTAGTTTTATTTTCTTGTGACGTCTCTATCTGGCTTTAATATTAAGGTAATGCTGTCTTCATAGAATGAGTTGATAAGTGTTCTTTCCTCTTCTATTTTTTGAATGAGTTTGAGAAGAATTGGGGTTAATTCTTTAAGCATTTTGTAGAATTTACCGGTGAAGCCATCTGGTCGTGGGGTTTTCTTTGTTGGGAGGTTTTTGTATATTGATTTAATCTCTTTACTAGTTATAAGTCTATTCAGATTTTCGATTTCTTCTTGAGTCAGTTTTTGTTGGTATTCATGGTTACTTGAGGTTCAAAACACTTTCCTGAAAAAAAAATGTATATATAAACATATTACATATACCTGAGTACATGGAAAGACTAGTCATTTTCCTGGATTGATGTTATATTGGAATTTTTTTAGTTTTAAGACGTAACTTTACAACCATGTTGTTTAGAAATAAGAAGGAAAATACTAAGGGAATCCGTTAAAAGGGGTAAAAGCAATTGACTCCAGGAAAGGAAGGGGCAGAGGAATGCTATTTTTCTGAAGAAATATAGCAGCACAATTAGACTCTTTGTAAAAACAAACAATGATGTGATGTAAATTTAAACAATTTAAGTGATGTAAAAAGAGTTCTACAACCAGGCTGTCTAGATCCAAACCCCACGTCTGCCATTTGGTAGCCCTTTAACTATGGGTACATTTAAGGTGCTTGATCTCTCTGAGCCTCAGTTTTTCCATTTGCGAAATGGGAATGGCAGTAGTACCTATTACAGAAAGGTTCTACAGGAACTGGAGGAAACAGTGAATGTAAAGGGCTTAGCTGCAGAGTGTCCTGGAAATAGAAATTTCTTGCTTCCATCATCAGGCTCTCCCAGACCAAACTAACTTTCCTTTTGGCTGAGCCAGAGCTGCCTGGTCACCCTGGAGACTCCCCCATTTGTGCTACTGACTGACTGCCTGACCTTGGGCATGTCTCTTCTCCCAGGATCCTTTGGAGGTGGCTTCAGAAGGGCCCTAAACTTAGCCAGCTCCCCCAGGCTCAGGCTGGCTCTGTCCCAGACTCCAACCTCTCCCCCTGGGGGTCATGGCTTTGTTTTCTTCTAAAGGCCCAAGATTTCCAAACTCTGTGGTTGCCTTGCCTAGCTAAAAGGGGAAGAAGGGGATCAGCCCAAGAAGGAGGAGGAGGAAGAGGAAAACAAGAGAAACAGCCAGTACAGCAGAGAGGAGTGTGTGCCCAGCGGTCCAGGTCCCTGCGGAGCTAGCAGCTGAGACCCCAGTGCCTTGCCCACCCCTCAGCCCTGCATCAGCCTGCCACCTCCCCACGGAGGCCATGGGCCCAGGGGCTCTGCTGGTCCTGCTGGGGGCCACAACTTGGCACGGTAAGAGCAAAACAGGGGACTCTGCGGGTTGGGGGGGATGAGTGACAACAGAGAAGGCCCCTGTGCAAGGACCCTGTAAACCTCTGCCTCTCCCTGGGTATCCCCACTCTGGACCACAGGTTTGCGGGTGTCTGCTTTGGAGAGGCAGTGGAGGGAAAAGAGGGTGTGGGTGGGGTGGAAGTAGCCAGGAGGGCTGCAGATCTGTTCCAGCTCAGAGGTTGACTCACCATGTGTCCTTAACAAGCCCCTGATGCCCTGGGGCTTCAGTGTCCACATCTATTCAATGGCAGGTGTTGGGGGCAGTGGTGAGCTGCACTAAAGCATGCTCTTCAAACTCCGCTCTGCAGATGGATTCCCTGGGGATCTTGCTACAATGCTCATTCTGACTCAGTAGGTCCCAGGTGCAAAGTGAGATTCTGCATTTCTAACAAGCTCCTAGGAGAGGCTGATACAGCTGGTCCAGACTTACAGCCCTCTAGGAGGCCCTAGAGAGCTCCTAATGGCTCTGCCAGCTCTCTGCCTGTAAGCCGCAGAGAGCAGGCCGGACCCGACCTGGAGGGGCCCAAGGGAGCAGCGGTCATTCCTCGGGAGGCTTGGGTAAGGGGCTGGAAGGGGAGATGAGAGGTTAGCCTCTGTGGCTCAGGGCTCAAGTGAGGTGAATTTGGGAGGAGAGTAGAGGAGGACTAGAGGAGGGCCTGCGGGGAGGACAGTGCTGGTCTCCCTGGCCAGAGTGCTCCCAGACGCAGGCTGCCGGGCCTCAGCCCAGGGAGCTGTGTGTGGCAGACCCCGTCCCGCCTCCAACTCTGGTAGCAGCAGATCTGGTGTAGCTCCAATCCAGGAAGGTGCCTCACTGGGGGTGAGGGGCTGGCTGCTTGGCTTGTAGCTACAGTTATATTTTATCACATACTTATTTGGAAGCATCTTGGGCCAGGATGGGGATGGGGTGGGGTGGGGTGGGAAGGCAGCCTCAGCTCTGGCCTCCCCATAGTTCTGGGGCTGCAGGACCCTGGGGAGTAGGTGCATCTGGTCCCCGATGAGGAGACGGCCCGCTGAAGGTCTTTTTATGGCCAGGTCAATCTCTCTGGGCTTCAGTGTCTGTTCCTTGTTATTGAGATGTAATTTACATACAGTAAAACGCACAGATTCTTAAGTATACAGTCTGATGAGGTTTGACAAATGCATATGCTTGTGTACCCACCATCCCAATGAAGATAGAAACTATTCCCCTCTCTCCAGAAAGTTCCATGAGTTTTATTTCACTGCCTTCTCCTATTTTCCTGCCTAGCACCTGCCTGTGGGGCACTGTTGGGTGATGGGAGGATTGTCCAGCATCTAGACCTGGAAGAAAGAAAAGATAGGAGGCAGCAGGCTAGAAGCCTCAGGTTTCAGCCCAACAGACCAGTGGTGCGAGAGTGGGGGGGTGCAGGGGCGGCCATGAGGGAGTCAAGGGCCAGGCTCTGAATACCCTAGAGATGGGCAGAAGGCCACTAAGATCCTGGGCTGAGGAGGGGGCTATGTCCCAGGCCTTGGTGTGCAGTATGGAGGGGACATTGAGGGAGAGGAGTGGAGGTTGGGCCACATCCTGGGAGCTGAGATGAGAGACAGGCACAGAAGGGGACCTTGGTCAGCGTCTGCCAAGCCCCAGCCCCCACCCCAAGGAGGACGGGCCTGAACAGGCTTTCTCTTCCCGCCAGCCAAACCAGCAGGGGGAAGTTAGGGGCAGAAGTTGAGGGTGTCAGCCTGGCCCTGCGTGAATATCTGGGACAACAAGACACGACAAAACAGGACACATTTCTCTGACCACATTTCCAGGAGGCCGAGACAAGGGCTAGAGGGACAGGGCAGGGAGGGAGAAGGTGCCACCGAGACCGGGTGGGTGCAAAGCGGAACACAGTGAGAATCACAGAATCTGAGACCTTGGATGGTACACAGACTGTGACCTTGAAAAGTTAAAAACTTTAGGGGTGCCTGGGTGGGTCAGGCAGTTAAGCGTCTTGATTCTTGATCCCAGCTCGTGTCTTGATCTCAGGGTCGTGAGTTCAAGCCCCATGTTTAGCTCCACACTGGGCGTGGAGCCTACTTAAAAAAAAAAAAAACAAAAAACCCCCCGAAAGTTAAAAAGTTTAGATATCAGAGTGTCAGGACCAGAAGGGGGGTTAGAAATGTCACAACTGAAGCAGTAGCCCAGGGCAAGGGCAGTGGACTGAACCCGGGGCCGCTCTCGCCTTACTGAATCCTCCCGGGACCTCCCAGGTGGAAAGGGACTATTCCCATTGGAAGGAAGGGTAGCCAGAGAGTCAGAGAGGGTAAGCAAGCTACCCAGCGTAAAAGGGAGAACCAAGTGTCAGCCCGTGTGGGTGTGACCCCACAGTCCAAGCTCTTCCCCGCGGTCAAACCCCATCCGGGACCCCCCATGCCTGCAGCTGCAATAAGTCAGCCCCAGCTCTGCTGGGATTTGCCGACAGCCTGCCAGAAATGATGCTTGCCCTCCTCCCTGGTGGTCATGTGGCACAGGAGGGATACAACCCCCAGGTGCTGGCCTTGGCAGTATTCACCAGTTCCCTCAATGCTTTATGCTCATCAGAAGCTCAGGCAGCAAGGCAAACACCTCTGGATGGGTCTAACATCAAAACGCTAACGAAGCCATCCTGAAATAATTCGACAGAGAAGATCTTTCCAATTCTGGAGTCTATGCTGCGGATGGGGTGGAAAAACCCACTTCGGGCACTTCTGTGCAGGACAGTGGAGAACCCTGAATTCAGCCGATGCCCTGGGGGCAGCAGTGACCAGGCCCCTGTCACTGGAGTAGAGCGGTCGGATTCATTAGGGGCACCCAGTTGGTCAGTGGCAGAGCCAGGCCCTGCAGCCCAGAATGTTCCAGTGTGCAGCAGGTGGCACTCCCTCTCCTGGGGGTCTCTCCGTTGGAGAGGGGGCGGTAGCCAGGAGGGCCAGGAAACAGAAGTGAGAACATCCCTGGGAGGAGGGCTGCAGGCCGAGCGGAAACTGGGGGCCGGGCTGGACACCAGCAATGTGCTTCCGCCCACACGGGCTCAAGGGGGGCGCCTGGCCGCCCCTCCAAGGCCTTGAATCAGTTCTCACTTCCCTCCTTTGCCCCTATTTTAGGCCTGGAAAAATGCTGACGCGGCAGAGGCACCGGGCCTTCTTCCCGGAGGGCCTGATACGGGTTTCAAGTTCTCTTTTCTCCTTCAAGAAAATTTTCCTTAAAAGAGATTGGCTTCCTAGTAAACACAGTGGTGCTGGTGTGCTGGGCTAGAAGGCTGACCAGCCCTTACTGAGTATTTATTTGGTGACAGATGAGGATCCAGAGGCTTTCCATGCACTTAAGCCTCCTGGCATCCCAATAAATGTGTACAATTATGGCCCCCATTTTATAGGTGGGGGCAACTGAGGCTCAGAGCCTCTGAACCATCCCACTGTGCTGCAGAGCAGATGTCCAGTGGTGGGAGTGGGCACGACACAAGACTCCCAGAACCCTTCTAACTCTGCTGGGCCAAGATCCTACGACCCTTCTCTTCCTCTTCATATAAATCAAATTGGAGGACGTTGCCACGAACATTCCATTCCTTTGTTTTTTCCTTTGTTTGTTTGAGCTCCCTGCTTTGAGCCAGGTCCTGGGTTTGGCACTAGGGATACAGTCCATTTTGTACATGGGACCGAAGGGGTCCACCTGTGGGGAGGATGTTGCAGTCACAGCTGGGAAGACTAAGGCAGGAGGCTGGGGGAGACCCTGCGGAACAGCAGCTGACTGGGCCCTGAGAAAGCTCCCGGTGCCCGCTTCTCAGAGGAGGGGGCTACTGGACATCAGTCCCTCCCTGAGCACCTTGGAGGTGGGGGGCTGAGCAAATGGCAAAGAGGGCCAGGACTTGCTCAAGGTGATCCCCAGTCACAGCTGAACCCCAGCACCACACGTCTCCTGCCAGGAGGATCTCAGAGGCTAGGATCATCAGACCAGGGAGGGTCTCCTCAGGGCTCACTCCTGTCTGCTATTTACCCCCGCCCCCACCAGTTCAAGGAGTCCCAGTGATAGAACCCAGGGGCCCTGAGCTCGTCGTGGAGCCAGGCACAACGGTGACCCTGCGATGTGTGGGCGACGGCAGCGTGGAATGGGATGGCCCCATCTTTCCCCATTGGAACCTGGACACTGATGGCCCCAGCAGCATCCTGACCACAAATAATGCCACCTTCCTAAACACGGGGACCTATCGCTGCACTGAACCTGGAAGCCCCCTGGGGGGCAGTGCCACCATCCACCTCTATGTCAAAGGTGAGGACTCTGGGCCCACTCCCAAGAGGCCTGGCCCAACAGGCTCCACCAGGAATGGGCAAAAGGGCTGGGCCCTCGGATTAACAACCATAATAAAGCAGCTCCACATTGACTGAGTGCCCTTAACAAAGACCAGCGGCAGTGCCTCCAATTTAATGTAGTTCTCACAGTAACCTTGTGGCGTAGGTGCCACGATTATGCCTGTTTTCCAGAGGCTCAGACAGGTTGAGTCATTTGCCCAAAGTCACACAGCACCAAGTAGGAGGGCTGAACCCTGGCTCTAGTGCCCCCACCCTGAAGCATCCGCGGAGCTGCTCTGACATGGTGTGGACCTCAGGCAAACGATCAGCTTCTCCGAGCCTCCCTGTCACCAGTGTCCAGGGACCGCTTGGCCTGGTGGAGGGAGGGCAGTTGTAACCTCGTACCCCTCTACCCCAGACCCTGTTCGGCCCTGGAAGGTGCTGGCCCAGGAAGTGACAGTGATGGAGGGCCAGGACGCACTGCTGCCCTGCCTGCTCACCGACCCCACGTTGGAGGCAGGCGTCTCGCTAAGGCGGGTGCGCGGCCGGCCCGTCATGCGCCAAACCAACTATTCCTTCTCGCCCTGGTATGGCTTCACCATCCACAAGGCACAGTTCACTGAGACCCACGGCTACCAATGCAGTGCTCGAGTGGGTGGCAGCATGGTAACATCCACGAACATCTGGCTCAAAGTGCAGAAAGGTGCGTGGGGCTGGGAGGGACAGGCCAGGGTGGAGGGCAGGGACAGAGAGCCAGCAGACATGCGAGCCCAGGCAGGGCCCAGGCCTGAGGGGGAGCAACGGGCTGTCCCTCCTCTTTCACTTCTTCTTTCCAGTTGCACCATGGTCATCCACAGGGCGCCTGTGAGGGCAAGACAAGCAAGGTGTGCTGGGCACAGCGAGACAGCCCAGGATCGTCTCAGCTCATGAGACATGCCATGCAAATCATTCCACAAGGGGATAGGAGAGGGTGGGGGGGGGCGCTCTCTGAGACGGTGACATTTTAGTCCAGCTGAACTGGGAATGATGGGAAGCAGGTGGCCGTGCAAAGCTGCTTCCGCAGAGGAAACAGCGGGTACAAAGTCATGAGGTGGATGCAGGCTCTGACTGTTCCAGGAACAGAAGGAGGGCCCAAAGCTGTCCCACATGGATTTCCACTCAGTGTCGGCGCACTGCTGGGTGCTGGGCACAAGCAGGAGGGGCGGTGAGCCAAGTGATGGGAAGGTGGGGGTGGGTGCACGTGACAGCTGTCACCATGGGGGTGACCATGGTGTTGAAGTCTCCCTCCTCTCCGCCTTGCCCCGGCTAGGCTGGTGCACCAGATTCTGGTTTCTGGAAGGCCTGGTGTGAGTACACAGGACCCCAGGCTTGACACCTGGCTTGAGACAGGAATCAGGTCCCTGCACCGAGGGCTGGGGTCACAGCCAAATGGCTGGCAACAATGCCCTGGGCTCTGAAGCCATGAAACCTGTTCAGGGAGTCACAGGACCCCACCATTGGGCAGAGGGGGCCATTAAGTCTCTTTCCCCCCCGCACTCCAGCTGGCAGAGCCATGGGCCCTTGTTCTGCCAGGATCCCCTCGGTGACCTTGGATGAGGCCCTTAGTGTCTCTGGGCCTTGAGAAACTGGATTAGATCATCTTTCAACACCAGCAATAGCCATGAACTAGAATTCAACGCCCACTCTGCATCAGGCACTGTACTAGCCATTGGGGATATCGCCATCTTCCCGGGGGAGACAGAACAGAGAGCAAATAACACGCTGACTGTGATCCACAAGAACCCGCACTGGAGAAAGCTGGATGTGTGTGGGCTGGGGGAGTCTCATTCAGCTGACTGGTCACAGAAGGCTTCTCGGAGCGAAAGATCCGGAGGATGAAAGTGGCCGCCCGCTCACGGTGTGGAAGGAAAAGCACTCCGGGCGGAGGGGGGCAAGTGTGCAGTCTGTGGCGGGAAAGCCGGTGCGGCTGCAGAGGGGCGTAAGCACGAGGCGGCAGGTGCTCAGGTGGTCAGCAACGGGCCGGGGCTTGCACCCCAAGAGTGATGGGAAGCCACGGATAGGGGCCCAGGAGCGCACGTGATCCAATCCACGTTCTCAAGAGCTCCCTCGGGCTGCTGCAAGGAGTCTGCCTCGTGCGGGGGCCAGAGGGGAAGTGGGGGCCTTCCAGGCGGCTGTTGCAGGCGCCCAGAGCCGAGAACAGGGTGAGACTGGGGAGACGTGTGGTGATGAAGGGGAGTGGACTTCTCAGAGTCTGTTTCAAAGACAAGACTTGCTGTCTGAGGCCTCCAGGCTGCCTCCCAGGATTTACGATGGGAGCGTGGTGGGGGCCCAGCCAGTTTCCGGCCTGTGGCAGGGAGCCGAGTGACAGCTCTGGCCTGAGTGTTCATGGGTTGCTCCCCCTGGCCTCAGTCATCCCAGGGCCCCCGACCTTGACGCTGGAGCCTGCAGAGCTGGTACGGATTCAGGGAGAGACTGCCAAGATCGTGTGCTCAGCCAGGAATGTTGACGTTAACTTTGAAGTCTTCCTCCAACACGGAGAAACCAAGGTCAGTCCGTGCGGAGACAGCAGGGTGAAGGGTACCCAACCTCCCAGAACACCAGGCCCCGCAGGATGGAGCCCCAGCCCCACTACCCGCTGGCTCTCTGGACTGAGGGCACGGCCCAGGCCCTAAGATCTCACTGCCTGTCAATAGCTGATTCAGAACCAGGACTTGGGCTCATGTCACTGATTCTTGTTGGGGGGGAGGGAGGTGGTACTCTACCCCCTTGACCTTTGTCCCAGCCTGTAGATAAGAGCCAGAGGTCAGTTCACTTCTGACTTAGCAAGGGGTTCCTTGGCCACCTCGAAGCCCAGCAATATAAAGGCCATTTCCGAAAGACTAGGAGAGAGGGAAGCAGGGTGAGTATCCCCAAAAGGGAATGGCATCCGGCTGCTTCTAAGAGCTCCTTCCTGCGCCACTGTGCCCTACCGTGTGCCGGCCACAACCCTACCCCCGTTTACATGCAATAGCTCATTGTTCTTCACTACAACCCTAGGAGCATGGGCTGGCGTTAGTCCCATTTTACAGATGAGGACACTGAGTTCAGTCCCTTGCCCAAGGAAAGGCAGACAGTAATCTTTAAAGGCTGACGATTTGAACCCAGAGTTTTCTCATCCCTAAACAACATTTGTATCCCATTTTCATTCCTTCTGGCTACAGCTCACAATCCCTCAACAATCCGACTTCCAAGGTAACCAGTACCAAAAAGTCCTGGCCCTCGAGCTCGATCACGTAGGCTTCCAAGACGCCGGCAACTACTCTTGCGTGGCCACCAATGTCCGAGGCATCAGCTCCACCTCCATGGTCTTCCGGGTGGTAGGTGAGCGTTAGGGCGACGGGGGGAGGGTTGCCAGGGATCCTGGGGCAAGCGAGTGTGTGAGGGGATTGGGAAGGAGGGAGCTGATGGCGGACAATGAGGAGACACTGTTAAGAACAGCTGCACAAGCCTCCCCTTATCCTGGGCCTGGCGAGGGAGCCCCACCACTAGGATCCCTCCCAGATCCTTCCCCAGAATCCTTCACTCCCTTCCTGGAGCTCCGACAGTGCATTACTGCATTTTGTTTTGTGACTGGCATCCAGTAGCTCCCTGTTAGACAGCTGTTCACGCCTTCATTCATTCCTCCATGCCTGGACCACCCATGTCACACGGACGCAAGAGCAGACAAGGCTCACCCAGGGAGATCATGCAGGAGGCACAGGGCGTCCTGGGAACACCAAGGGGGGCCCCCCAACCCTGGCTTGGACAAAGTGGCCTAAGCTAGGCCCCAAAGAATGGAGGTGGGTTAGCGAGGCAGAAGGATGGGAAAGGAAGTGCAACAGCAGAGCTTGTGGATGGCCCAAAGGGAGAGAGCAGAGAGCGTCTGAGACGTGGAGGGAAGCGGCGGGGATGTGAGTGGTGTGACAAGGGGCCAGACAGAAGCCGGGAGGGAGGCAGCGTGCAGACGGCAAAACGGGCGGGTGGCTTGCAGCCTATCCTGTTGGAAAGTCATTGAGAGTTTAAGAGAGAGTGATGGGATCAGACTGCCTGCAGGGGTACATTGTGGTGGCAGCACCCCAACCTGGCTCCGCCAATGACTAGCATGATACCTAACTGCAAGACGGGGATACTGACAGTACTAGCAGTCACTGTCTCAGAGGTTTGTTGTGAGCATTAAGTGCATCTATCATCTACCTACCTACCTACCTACCTACCTACCTACTCTGGCGCAGAGTAAATGCTGCCTAAGTGTGCACAGGAGACGTCATCTGAAAGGCCAGTCCGATGCCCTGTGCATTGGATGGGAGATCCGAGGCTGGACAGGCTAAGTGGGAATTTCTCACGGTCAAGACAGGCTGAGTGATTTCGGTCTGGCCACGCCTCATGTGTTCAATGTTACGGGAGACAGAGGTGCGTCGGGGAGAGCACGCGTGAGCCTCCCCACCCGGAGAGCAGCCACACTGCACGAGGCTCACGGTCACGCTCCGCGGGGGGGCCCCGTCCTGCGCCGGGAGCCGTGCGGGGTGAAGGAGGAGAGGAGCACATCAAGTAGTTCCCCAGTGGTGGGTTCTGAGCCTGTGTGTCTCCTAGTGCACGGGTACGGCAGTCACTCGGCGTGTGTGTTCGTGCACGCTCCTGGTCAGACACTGCTCTGGAGGCCGAGGACGCGGCTGCAAACACGGAGGCCCCTGCGCACGGGAAGTTTGTGCTCCAGCTGGGGAAAGACAAGCAATGAGCGACATAAATTCTGGAAACCAAATCAGTCCTATAGGGTTTGCCATTTAAGATAGGGTGTCCTCAAGGAAGATCTCACTGGTCAGCTGCCACGCGGGCCATGGCTTGAAGCTGGCGAAGGGGTAAGCCACGCAGACGCGCGGCAGCACGGAGCTCCGGGCAGAGGGCGAGCGGGACTGTGCTCGCCATGTGCAAGGAACAAGTCAGCCAGCGTGGCCGGGGGCAGGGGGTGGCAGGCTCCGGAGAGGGAGTGGTACAAGGGGGCGGTCAGAGAGGTGAGCGGGAGAGGGGGCAAGTTCCCCAGGGCCCTGGAAGCCAATGTAAGGACTTGGGTCTTTTCCCCTTGAGAGAGATGGGGTGCCATTGGAGGGTCTGAGTAAAGGAGTGTGACACCATCTGACTGGCACGCAATGAGATTGAACATGGCTTTCCGGTGCTGTGCGGAGGGAAGAAGCAGGGGGCCAAGGTCGGAGGCTACTGCGATTTCCAAGCTGGAAGTGACGACGGCTCGATGAGGGTGGTGGTGGTGGAGGGGGTGGGAGGACGGCTGGAGGATGGATAGACAGATAGACGGCTGAGGGGGAGAGAGGAGAGGACAAAAGCCTTGCCCTAAAAGCTCACAGATTAGTTGGACAGAGAGGGTGCTTACCCCAAGGGAGAAGCAGACGCAAGAAGTAGGGTAGATGTGGTGCCTAACGAATGGGTGGGCTCTGCGGGCCGCAGAAGTGCAGGGAAGGGAGAGCGCCCTGTGGCCTGGCCTGTGGGTGGGTACCCCCGAGAGGGATGAGCCTTGAAGGATGAGAAGGATGTAAATAGAAAAGAGGAAGAAGACATGGCTCCCGGTGGAGGAAATGTCTTGAACAAAATCTCCAAAGTAGGAATGACTGTGGTGTGTTGGTGTGTTCAGGGGATGTTAGGAGACCCAGATGGGTGGAGTAGTGTGTGTGTGTGTGTGTGTGTGTGTGTGTGTGTGTGTGTGTGTAGGGAGAGGGGGCTGGCTAGATGGGCATAAGGAGAGACTTGACTGAGGAGAGCCTTGAATGCCACTCTGTATGTGGACACAATAGGGAGCCATAAGCTTTGGAGCAGGTATATCACAGGGTAGAAGAATAAATTTTAGATTTCATAGAATTGAGGAAGGAGAGGAACCCTTAGAGATCATATAATCCAGGGCTTTTTGCAAAGTCTTGGGGATTTAAGAAAGCATTTCAGGGGCTTCCATGAGAGGTATGGAGAGACTGAGTGAATGGGGATTCTTGCCATAGCTCCTTTGCCTGAGATTCAGCCAGAGCAACTGATTTTAATTCATTCAAGATTTAATTCGAAGAAACTAGTCAGGACTTTTTCAGGCATAGGTACAGAAATCAACTTGAGCTGGCCTAATCACAAGAGGATTTTTATCGGCCTTATAGCTAAAAAGCTCATGGATATGAGCTTCGGGTAAATTGGATCTAGGTGTTCAGTTGATGTGGGCAAGAACCTGTTGCTTCTCACCTCTACATCTCAGCTCTACATTTTTCTTGTGGACCCCTTGCAGCATCAGGCTTGACAACCCCAGTGGAGTTGGGGCTTCTCCTTTCCCAGAGCTTCAACAAAAATCATGGAAATAAGTGTCATAGGACCCATGGGCTCATGTGCCTACCCCAAACCACTCTCTGGTCCAAAGGGGACATACTACTTTGGCTCGCTGGCCTGGCTCACATGCCCCCTTAGAGCTGGATGTGGGAGCTTCACTGGCTGAACTATTAGCAGGAGAAGGGGAAATGCGTGAGGGGGTCCAGGAAAAAAAACAGCAGACTTTGATTTTTTGCCACTGAAAATTTTCAAAAAATTGTAACAACACAAATACATTTGATCTCTTTGTTATATAAATAAGGATAGAGGTACCAAGGAGGAGAGGAATTTGTCCAGGTTCTCCTAGAGACTCAGCAAAGAGAAGAGTTTGGGATTCTGTGGGGCAGTGGTGGGAAGAGAGGTGTCTGAGGGTGAGTCTTGGTTAGGGGTGGGGGCTATACACAGTAGGCACTCAGGAAGGCTCCACCTGAATGGCTGTATCAATGGGTAGACCACCAAATGAGCAAACAAATGGAAACATCTTTCCACTAATGCCCGATCTGTATGTGTTCTGCTTTCCAGAGAGTGCCTACTTGAACTTGACCTCTGAACAGAACCTCCTCCAGGAGGTGACCGTGGGTGAGAAGGTCGATCTCCAAGTCAAGGTGGAGGCCTACCCGGGCCTGCAAGGTTTTAACTGGACCTACCTGGGACCTTTCTCTGACCACCAGCCCAAGCTCAATTTTGTCATGTTGAAGGACACATACAGGTACAGCCTATCAGCTCCCATCTGGACAGCCCCATAGCCAGAAGGGAAATGCTTCAGCCAGGAGGCGGGACACTGACTGGGTCATGTCTCAACCTTGCTGGTGACCTGGAGTAAATCCCTTCCCCTTTCTGGGTCTCACTTTCCTTGACTATAGAACCTCAATATCAGTCATCCGTGTTTGAGGCGTCGACAAAATTGGCTTGCCCCTCTGTCCCACATCCTTGGGAAATCCAACGAACCTCCTCAAGAGTTCTACCATTTCTTGGGACGTGCATTCTCATGCTCACTCAAGAGCCCTTAATCCCATTTAATCTCTTCTTTCATAGCCAATCCAAATGTAGAAGACATGCTCCATGATTTCTACTCCTAGATACACTCCTAATAATGATGGCACAGGGAATCTGCCACATACCTGGGTTTGGGGGATAGACAGAATTAACATCACACGATCACAGATACATCAAAAGTTCTTTAAAGGCCTGTGGTCACCCACCCCTGAGAATTTCTCTATCATTCTTCTCCACAGACTCAAAATGCTTCTCATAAAGTGCCATCCGACTCTATCTCCTCTTTCCTCCCTTCTCTCCATTTCCAGAATCTGGCTTATCTCACAGGCACAGCATGTTAGAAGTCTATTTCCTGTCTGCCTACTTCCTCAGAGTGTTACTTGCCCATCCAAAGTGGCCTCACTTTGGTAGTCTACTACATAAGAGAGTCTCCTCCACAGAAGGAACACCGATACCATGTGCTCAAACAATAGCTTCTTTACCCACTTGTGTTTTAACGAGAGCACGGCACTCAAGGACAGCAAGCTTGTGCTGTGCGGGTAACCCATCCCTCTCCCGCATTCTTGACAGACTTCGCTAATGCACTGTTGAGCTCTTTCCTGCAGGGTCCGAATGCAGCCTGGGAGTCCTTCTTAGCACAGTCTCCTAGCCAGTATTTTCATCATCACTGACTCAGGAGAGGAGACATGTTTGCCGTTATTTGGGGATTTGCTAGATATTTGCTAGGTAATCCCTTAGCCATCTTCCAACTCCAGAACTCTCCAGGGTTCTCTTCCTAGCTCCTGAAGCCCAGACCTCATGAATGCCTGGCCTCCAGCTTGCCAATTGTCAGAATCAAAACAGAACAAAATGTTCAACAGGACAAAAATGTTTCCTTGTCTTCATTTTTCTCCTCCCAGTTCCCTTCTCATCTATTCTGGTCAGGATTTCTAGCTTCCCCTTGTCTAAAGCAGAAGTTCTGAATCTGGAGTCTATAGACCCCTGGGAGAGGGTTGGTCCATGGACAGGTTTCAGGGGTCCATATGCAACAGGGACATTGCAGGAAGAAACCATGGAGATCCCCCAAAACACAGTAGTGTAGGGACATTAGGCACAGGGCAGATAAGCCTGGGCACCAAACAGCCACCAAATTTAGCTCACGTGATGGGTGTGTTCATAATGGTGACATTGAGTCACGCAAAAAAAGTTAAATTCTTTCCACTCAAGAGGTAGATGTGTAGAGGGGTTCTGTATGCCAAGGGTCCTGCTGAATGACACTGCCCTTTGACTACCATGGGTATTAGTTTGGTATAATTTATAATTATATGCTATAATTTATTAAAAAAACTTATTTATTACCTAAACAATACATGTCCATTATGGACAAATGCTAAAATAGAGCTTAAGAAAAGAAAAAATGAAAAATTACCTGGAATCAGCTGAGGATAATTTATGTTGTCCGCATCTGCTTCCGAGTCTTTTCTGTAACAGAGGTCACCATTAAACCGAGGAGCTACGATGAGTCGGGCTCTCTGTCAATCACCCTGAATGTATGCCCCTTTAATCTTCAGGCCAAGCCTGTGAATTAATACCATTCGTGTTACCCTCATAGAAAAGGAAGCAAAGATCAGAGACGTTAAGTACTTGACTAAGATCACGCAGCTAAGACAGACGGCACGAGAACTTTAACCCTGGTTTCTGCAGCCCCATGGCTATGTCTTGCCTCTCATCCCTCCCACAGTCCCTCCTGGCAGGATTGGTGCTTTAGGAACCGCAGCTAACCTGGGTGCTGGTGTTCTGAGCAGGGACTGCTTAGCCCAGTGACGATGGTGGAAGTAGGTACCTATGGTGGGAGCTTGTGATGTGCCTCCCGGTGTCAGCACTTCACAGACATCATTTCTATTAAACCTCAGAAAAAAACCACTTTACAAATGAGAGAAGCAGGGACACTGGGGTGGCTCAGTCTGCTAAGTGTCTGCCTTCGGCTCAGGTCATGATCTTAGGGTCCTGGGATCGAGCCTTTCATCGGGCTCCCGGCTAAGTGGGGAGTCTGCTTCTCCCTCTGCCTGCCGCTCCCCCTGCTTGTGCTCTCTCTCTCTCTCTCTCTCTCTCTGACAAGTGAATAAATAAAATCTTAAAAAACGAGAAAAGCAATTAAGGAAATTGGGTTGGTGGTTTCCCATGTCTTAATGGCACTCAGCCTGGGTCCCTGGCTCAGCCAAGGCCTTTGCATCCTGGACACTTTACCAAAAATAAAACAAAGCCCTTTCAGAAGGTTGTCTGAGCCCACTGTCTTGCAGGGGCCATACGAGGACTGGGTTCATGCCAGACGGCTTGCCCCTCTTGTGCAGGTACACCTCTATCCTCTCCCTGCCTCGCCTGAAGCCCTCGGAGGCCGGTCGCTACTCCTTCCTGGCCAGAAACACTGAAGGCGAGCATTCTCTGACCTTTGAGCTCACGCTGCTCTGTGAGTGATGGGGCAGGTGGGCGGGGGGGCGGGGCAGTACTGGGGACTAAGGTGCCTGGGGCTGCCTGTATGTCCCTGAGGCTGGCGGATGGGCAATGGAGGGAAAGCAGCTCAGTGCAAGGGTGGTCAGACAGGGACTTGGGGCCTCTGGGGCTGATCCCTCCTTCTTCCACCCCTCTTTTACTCCTCAGACCCCCCAGAGGTAAGGGTCACGTGGACCGTCATCAATGGCTCTGACGCACTGCTCTGTGAGGCCTCCGGGTACCCCCAGCCCAATGTGACATGGCTGGAGTGCAGGAGCCACACGGATAGGTAGGTGGCTCTACTCACCTTCTTCACCCCAGGCTGAGGGGCCGGACGGCGGGGCGTCCTGAAACTCTAAGCCACACTCTGCTCTTCCCAGGTGTGATGAGGCCCAAGGGCTCGTCCTAGAGGACTCACACGCGGAGGTGCTGAGCCGGGAGCCCTTCCACAAGGTGATCGTCCGTAGCCTGCTGACCATGGGGACCTTGGAGCACAACCGGACTTACGAGTGCCGGGCTCTCAACAGCATGGGGAACAGCTCCCAGGCCTTCAGGCCCATCTCTATAGGTGAGCCTTCACCCCTCCCGGGACAGGGTGGGAGGTGGGCCCAGGAAACTACCCCAGCCCCAGGGAGCCTGCGAGCCAGGGCCTAAGTGCCAGAGAGGAGCAGATCCCAGCCATACCGAGTTCCACCTCTCTGGGTCCAGCTGCAGCTGCCTCCTGACCAAAGGTCTCCTGAAGAGGCCAGGCGGAGGCGTCTAGGACCCATGGGACTAGAAGCAGGGAGGAGAGGGGCAGAGGGAGAAAGCAGCCTGAAGCGTGGCTTCATCTGGCCCCTCTGCTCTTATTCCAGCATTCGATCTCCCCCGTGAACGCACAAGTATGTATTTGGCATGAGCTGTGTGCCGGGCACTCACTCAGTGCAGGGGAGCAGTGTGTCTATGGAGCTTGGAGCCTGGGGGGGAGAGACAGGCCAACCGTCCCCCAGGGCCAGCCCCGACAGCCTCCTCCATCCCTCTCGGACTCTCTTCCCTCCAGAGACACAGTCCTATCCATTCGGGGCCACTGTCCCCGGGTGGGGCTGATGGCCAGCCCCGGGCACTGACTTGGGCTGCATGTGGTCGGAGGAAGGCGTGCCTTCCCTGTGTGGTACAAAGGCTGCAGCCGCCTGAGTGGGAGAGACCCACAGCTGCGGGCACCCACAGCACCTTCGGACTTCCAGCAACCGGGACTCAGCACCACTGTGTGTCAGGCCCGACTCTCTGGGCAGACAGCACCGAGTGGGAGCCTCTGCCTGGCTCCGAGGTGGCCCCGCAGGTGCCTCGGAGCAGCTGGGACCAGGGCCAGACTCCACACACAGCTGCCTGTGGCAGGCCTGTCTCAGGGCTGGGGTCCGATATTAAACATGCCAGACGGATGTTTCACTGAGTGCTTACCCTGTGCCAGGCGCTGTGCTGAGCACCTTACAGTCATTATCTCAGCGAGCTCACATGACCCTAGGAGGTTAGCACTATTTTCCTTCCCGCTTGGGAGACGATGGACCAGAGGCTTAGGGAGAAGTCACATGCCTCCTAAGTGGCAGAGGTGAGATTTGGCCTCAGACCCACACTGTTGATCTGGGCAAGATGATGGACACTGTGTCCTTCAAACATATTGAAAGAAGTAAGGATATTGATCTGGAGGAGGAGACCCAAGGGCTATTAGTCAAGCTTTCAGACCCTCAGAAGGGCTGTGTGGTTCCAAGCGGTGCTCGGGAGAGCAGCGGGGAAATGCTGGGAGGGCAGATTTCAGCCTAACCTCTAGGTCGTTCTGTCTGAGCTGCCTGAAGGTGTAGGGGGTGAACGCCCATCACTGGGGTGTGTATTTGTGTGTGTGTGTGTGTGGTGTGCATCTGTGTGTGTGTGTGCGCGCGCGCACAAGCCACAGCTGGGCACTGGCACAAGCCTCTGCTGCAGAGCACCTCGCATCGGCAGGAGGGGGTACTGTGTGACCTGAGGGGCTCCCCAGCCACAGAGGCTGTGACTGCGGGCAGGGCTTGGGGCCGAGCATAAGCAGACCCGGAGGGGCTGTCCTCCCGGCCCCTGGCTGGGGGAGGGTCTATAGGAAGGCTCTCTGAGGCTCTGGGGGCTTCCAGGTGAAGACTCTTGGTTCAGTCAATGGGTATTTATTGAGCACCTACTGTGTTCCAGGCAATGCAGTGGCCTGATCTCAGTGGTGGCGGGAGGGCTCGGAGGCCCCGCTGCCGGCTCACTCCTCTGCCCCACCCCTTGCAGGAGCCCACACGCAGCTCCCCGACGAGCCGCTCTTCACGCCCGTGTTGGTCACCTGCATGTCCATCACGGCCTTGTTGCTGCTATTGCTCATGCTGCTTCTCTACAAGTACAAGCAGGTGAGCCTGGGCAGGGCGGGGATGGGGGCGTCCAGGCACCTGAGCCAGCCCAACCCTGGCACAGGGCCACCCGGTTGCGAGGATCCACCCTGTAGACCCCGAGAACCCACTCGTTCTATCAGCCATTCAGCCAACAGCTCTTTAGTGGGCACCAGCTGTATGCCAACGTGAGCGGCTGGGCGCTGAGTGAGCCAGAACTTGGAGGCTCTGAGGCTCTCCCCTTGTGGAGCTCCCCGTCTAGAGCAGGCGATGGTTGCAAAAAAGTGAGGGTGCGGATTACAGAGCAAAAGATGCAGTGGGGAGAGGGATGGGGTGTTCCAGAGAGTGTGAACATGGGGCCCTGTCCCCGCGGGGGGAGGGGGATGCAAGCACACAGAGAGGGTGTCACGGGGCCAGGCCTGTGTCTCACGTCAGGCGGTGGGCGGTCTAGTGGAGGAGGAAGGCTTGACCATCATCATCCTCTTCATTAGTTATTATTCATCGAGGCTGCCATTGAGTTCTCAGTCAGCGTTAGCAACTTAAGGGACATTTTCCTGAAGCCTGTTACTCACATCCTCTCGTTGAATGCCCGCAACGCTCACGGCATGTGGATGGCATCGCTAACCCTATTTTACAGAGCTGGAAGCTGAGATTCTGAGAGGGGAAGGCAGCTGCCCTTGCCTACAGCTGGTCGGTGGCAGAGGCTGGGTTTTAAGAAGCCATGTTTTTAGCCATTATGTGAAACACCGAATCATCTGATCTTACCCTCATGACAACCTGGAAGCAGGGACTGAAGCAGTCAGTATTTTACAGTAAGGAAACTGAGGGCTGGCAAGGGTGAAGAACCAGCCCAAGGATCCCAGGTGCCTCCCACGTGACAGCCTGAGGCCTCTGCCACCTGCCTAGCTGCCCTCCTACACAAAAGATGGAGTCCATTGTCCCTGGTGGGGAAGGGAGCCTGCTTGGAGAAAGTGGTGGGCATGGAGGGGCCAGATCTTAGAGAACGGGGGGGTGCAGCAAAGGGAGACAAGACTCAGGGAAATGGTATCTCTGGGGGAGAGGGTAATGTGAACAAAGGGGAGGGCGGGGTAGGGCGAGACCAAGGCAAGTTCCAGAAATATTGATGCCTGGAAGAGGAGGCAGATTGGGGGTCCAAGGAGTTGGGCCCCAGCCTATAGGCTCAGAGCCATCAGGAGGTTCGAACAAGGGAGCAGTGTGAGTAAGGGGTGAACAGCCCACCGTGTGGGCCTCCTCTGCATCTTTTCTTCTGCACCCCTGCCTTGGGGGTTTTAGCATCAGAAGAGGACTTAGTGTGGATGGGATATGGGGGCCCGTAGGGGCAGCTCTCATGCTCATGCCAGCACCCAGCATGAAGAGGCAGCTCTGAAGGCAGCCTCCAAGAAACGAAGGTCCTGGGTCAAGACTTCAGGGACCTGGGTCCAGCTCCAAAACTGTTTTGCCATGTGACCTTGGCTAACTCACTGCCCGCTCTGATCCTCAGTTTCCCTTCCCTACCAGGAAGACTGGTCACAGTCTTCCTGCTCTGAGGTTCCACGAGCCTACGGATAGTCTGGTTTAAGAGCCAGGGGTTGGGAGTTGGACAGTTAAGGCTCCTGCCTCTGCCGGTCTCCAGCTATTGCAACTCTGGGGAAGCTGGGGTTGTCTCTGTCTCTGTTTCTCCATCTGTGAAATGGGTTTAATAATGGTGGCCACCCCACCAGGCTGTCGTGAGGTTTCAATGACAGACTGCATGGAGGAGATTTAGCAGGGTGCTGGGCACAGATGGCGCTCAGGACAGACCCTGCATGCCCTTGCCCCAGGAGGAAGCTGACTGGGGAAGCTGAGTTAGCTCATGCATCTTGGGATTGTAGGAGTGTCTGAGGTTGGGCATCTCCTTGACTACACACCCACAGTGGTTGTCGGGCTTTGCTCACCCACCTCTATGGACAGGCCTTAACTCACTCTTGTTGAGTTCCTTCTCTGAGCAGCTCTGATTATTGTAAGCTTCTTCCTTTTACAGAGCTGAAAATTGCCTCCCAGTCAGTGCCCCACAGAGCTGCCTCCTCAGCCCAGAGGGCTCTGCAGAGATTCCAGAGAAGGCCCAGTTCCCTCTCCAGCCCCTTCTACCTTTAGATGCCCAGCCCCCTTGGCCAGTTTTGGTTTGGGGACACCTTACCTTCTCTCCATGGGACCATTTTTGGAACATGTGGTCCCAGCCACCTCGTTTCCCATCCAGGAAATGTAACTGCCCCCTGAACCCATCCAAGGCCAAGACAAGGAGGGCATCCCATGGGACAAGACCTTGAGGGGTCAAGGTGGTCGTGCCCTTGCCTCTGGGCCCTCCGTCCAATCCCCTCTGCTTTGCCCCATGGGGTTCTGAGCTTTGCCTCTGCACTGGGGACTCTGCCTGGCCTGTCCTCACTGCCTGGGCCTGCGGTGAGGGGTGGCTCTGGCTGGGGGGAAGGGTTGGTTCTGCCTCAGAGCTGAGTCATCACCTTCCTGGCCCCCAGAGAGACCACAAGGGGGGCCATCGGCGGGGTGGGGGGAGGAGAAAAGGGCAGGAGTCAGCAGGCTGGAAGGAGGAAGGACACAAGGAGGAAAGGGTGAGGTAGGGAGGCACGAAGCCCAGGATTCTGGAGTCAGAACTGAGCTCTGGGACCTGGAGGCCGACTGGGGGCCCTGTGGGAGGGTCCCCAAGGTTTCCAGTGGGAAGTGTTGAGGTTGCTACCTTCCTAAGACCGAGAACATCCAGCAGCCTAGAACCATCAGGCCTAGACGGGGAGAGTCACAGGACTGGGATGTCTCCCTGGCCGTCTCAGTCGCCAAGGGGAAGCTGGGGGGAGCCTGGGCCTGGGCCTGTTGTAAGGAGTGAGATGACCCATGCTGAGCGTGCCCCCCGGGGCCCTGCTCAGGGAGCACTCCCTCCTATCGGGACAACTACTACTGTTAGGAAACCTGGTCGAGGTGGCCCATCCCAACTTCCCTGTAAAGGGCTCTCCTTCAGAGGAGACCCCTCCAGGCAGAAGCCCTGGGTAGCCAAGGTGGTACAGAGGCAGAGCTGCTGGCTGCCTTCCAGGATGGGGCAGGGACGCCGGAGGCACAGGGGAAGGCGGGGGGAGAGCTGTTCCTTCCTCCAGGTAGAGACCTGAGATCCAGCCAGACGACCTCTCCTTCCTTTGACCGCCTCCCTCCCTTTCCCCAGTACCCCCTGCCTGGCTGGGGGCCGGGCAGCACTGGGGAGGGGGCTGACTCAGGCCCAGCTGCAGGGGCCAGAAGAAGGAGAAGTGGTGAGGAGAAAAAAACAGCTTTGGCCACAGAAGCCCCTGGAGATGGAAGTGGCTGGGGGAGGTCAAGGAACTCCCTCCGGGCTTTCTCTCCATGTTTAGGGTTGGGAAGGCACCCGCATGCGGGGCTTGAATCCTGCATGACTCAGGAGCTTCCTCCTTTGGTCCCGCTTCAGACTCTTCCTCCCAAGCCACAGCACGGTTGTTCTTAAGTTTACCTGCAGCCTCCCTCCTGAATCAGAACCCGGAAGTTCTCCCTTATGTCTACCCACAGTCTCCTCTCCCAAACTACCATCTGGAAAGTTCTTCCCTACGGCTCTCTGGAGTCTTTTCTCTTAATCTGATGCAACTTGCAGCCACAGGCCGCCTCCCTCCCCGACACCCACTCACATACCCGTTAGCTCCCCCAGGCTGGGTGCCCAGAGAAGGAGCCCAGCTGCTAAGCACAACCCAGCTGGTCCCTGTCCCCTTGGGCTGACCGGAAAGAGCAGGACTGCTGACCCAAGGCCTCAGTGTCCTACACCACCCAGGCCCAGCTTCCACTTTCCCCCCAAAATTCTGTCTTCCATCAGCGCTTCTCATGGGCACCCCGTGGCATGATGCCCCCAAGCAGCCGTCGCCCTGGGCAGGAAAGAGCCACGCATCTGCTTTCCTCCCTACGTCTGGCTCTGCCCTCTCTCTCTCCTTGGACAACATAAATTCAGATGTATCCCTCACCTGCGTCACCCCCTCGAGGGCTTCTCAGCGCAGTTAGGAAGGAATCCACTCACGTATCCCAGTGCTCAAGACCTTCCTGTCTCTGGAACATCCCTACCTCCTTCAAGCCCCCCCGGGGAACCTTCCGGGCCCTCAGACTTGCCAGGACTTGGCCCACCTGCAGGCCTCTGCATCTGCTCTTCACTGAGCCTGCAAAGAGCTTCCCCTGACAGTCATCTGGCCAGCTTCCCTCACCTCCTCAGAGGCCTTCCCTGACTTACCTTCCGTTGTACCCGGCGCTCTCTAGACCATCGCCCTGCTTTGTTTTCTTCACGGCACTATAGGAAAATGTCCGACATAAGTATGTATTTGAGTTGAATGCCTGTCTTAGCCCCTTGCCCGGGGGCAGGGCCTTTATCTTCTTCAGTTCTGAATCAATGGTGTCTGACACAAATAGGGATTTGGTGAAATATTTGTCTGGAAATATTATTCAGCCTTAAAAAGGAAAGAAATTCTTACCCACAGTTGGACCTTGAAGACATTAGGCTGAGTGAAATAAACCAGTCACAAAAGGACAAATACTGCACGATTCCAATTAAGTGAGGTACCTAGAGTCATCAGATTCGGGAGATAAGTGGCCAGGGGCTCAGAGGAGGTAGGAATGGGGAGCCGCTTAACGAGTATGGAGTGTCAGTTTTGCAAGACGAAAAGCATTCTGGAGACTGGTTGCACGACAGTGTGAATGAATACTTCTGAATGATATACTAAAAAATGGTTGAGATGGTAAATTTTCTGTTGTTATGGATCTTACTGCAATTAAAAATAAAACCAGACAGTATTTGGATGGGAGGATGGACGGATGGATAGGCCTCAAGGTCCCTCCCTCCCTCCTGGCTCAGGAATTACCAAGTTATCAGGGCTGTCAGGGCTCTCAGAGGTGACCCTGTCCCCCGTCTTTCAATATACAGGTGGGGAAACCAAGGCTTGCGGAAGGGAAGGTCACATGGTGAGGCCAAGCCAGGCAAGGACAGGGCTCTCAGTGCCTTGGACGTGGGACAACCCGGTCCCTCTCACCACATCTCAGGCCACCCCTGCCTCCTCCCGCACGCCTTGGGACTGCCCACACCGCTGCTCTCGGGGGTCGGGGATGAGATCCCAGATCTGCCTGCGGGAGGCTGACGTATGCTTCCCCCTCCCTCTGCAGAAGCCCAAGTACCAGGTGCGCTGGAAGATCATCGAGAGCTACGAGGGCAACAGCTACACCTTCATTGACCCCACCCAGCTGCCCTACAACGAGAAGTGGGAGTTCCCCCGAAACAACCTGCAGTTCGGTGAGTTGCGATCCTAGCACCCACATGGGACCAGCATGCACCGCAGGGAGCCTGTGGGCCCTTAGAGAAAGGGCTCTTTGTCACCCAGGGACCTAAGGAGACCGTGTGTGTGTGTGTTGTGTGTGTGGCAGGGAAGACTCTCGGAGCCGGTGCCTTTGGGAAGGTGGTAGAGGCCACAGCCTTTGGTCTGGGCAAGGAAGATGCTGTTCTGAAGGTGGCTGTGAAGATGCTGAAGTGTGAGTTAGGGGAAGGGGCTTTGGGAATCGCGGGGAGCGGGGAGGAGGTGGTGTATGCTAGGGGAGGGCCTGCCCTGTCATCACAAAAGGCACCACCCACATTTTTGGCCTGGGGTAGGGCCTGGGATTGCAGGCAAGGACTCTTGGCTTCTTTTGTGAGCTCCAGCCTCCCCCTAACTCCTGGGTGTGGAGGGTCTTCTGATGGAGCCCCAAAGAGGCTGGGGCACACAGAGGCCACTCTGGGCCATGGCCTGGCCACAGCTTGGTTTCCTGCCACTCGAGAGCAGCTCAGGGACGGGCTACCTCTCCTTTCTCCCTAACTCCCATCTGTGTGTCTGCATTTTTCCTTTTCCCTCTTTTGGTCACTGATCGCTTTGGGGCACTAGGTGTGCCCCGCTTGCTCTCTTGGGTGTCTCCTGTCTGTCTGTGTGGCTCTCTATGTCCTGCCCTCTCCCCATCTATGGGACCTGTGGCTCCATCTTCCAGCCACGGCTCACGCGGACGAGAAGGAGGCCCTCATGTCGGAACTGAAGATCATGAGTCACCTAGGCCAACACGAAAACATAGTCAACCTTCTGGGAGCCTGCACCCATGGAGGTGAGGGGTCCTGGCAGGCACTGGGGCCCATGGTCTTGGAGCCTCTTGGGTGTCTGAGGCCCCAGGGTCACCTCACTCCATCTTCTCCTCCCTATCCCCTCCAAGTGATGGTAGGATCTCTACCTCAGCATTCCTCAAATTCCTAGACCAGGTGCCTGGATTTGTCAGAAGGTGTTTATGACTGATAGTTCTATGAGCTCTGATCAGTGGTTCTCAGACCTTGGTGCGTGTCCTAGTCAGCCAGAGACGGGTATAAGAATGCAGATCTCTGGTTCCTGCTGCAGGGAGTCTGATTCTGGGGGCCTGGAGTGAAGCTCCCACCCAAAGACACTTGGACACTCATGACAGGGTCCACAGAGGTGCCCCAGGGCCTGTCGGGACTCCCAATCTGTGCCATCCTCTTCTATAGCAGCCTTGACCCATATGGAACCACCATAGATTTCCTTTGAAGAAAGAATTCTTTGGCTAGTTTTTTGAGATTCCTCTGTTTTAGACAGATGGGATTACTGAGGCACAAAAAGCAGAAAAAGCTGCTCATAGCCAGGCAGGATTAGAACTCAGGTTTCCCGAGTCCCATTCCAGGGGGCCGTGTTGCCCCACACCATGTTCCTGTCCACATGGGGGAGTGGGCTGAGGAGTGGCCTTACCCCACTCTCTTGGCTGCTCTAGGCCCTGTTCTGGTCATCACCGAGTACTGTTGCTATGGCGACCTGCTCAACTTTCTGCGAAGGAAGGCCGAGGCCATGCTGGGACCCAGCCTGAGTGTGGGCCAGGACCCCCAGGCAGGTGCTGGCTACAAGAACATCCACCTGGAGAAGAAATATGTCCGCAGGTAGGACCCTGGCAAAGGATAGGAAGGAGTCTGGGACTGGAGGAGGGGGGCCTGGGTCTGTCCGTAAAGCTAACAGAGGCTCGGTGGCCCTCACATTCCCATCTCTGCCATGGTACGAAGTAGTCACCCCCGCTTAGATGGGCCAACCTGGCTTTTCTACTACTTATTCCTATCATCCAACAAATATTCGGGCACCTACTATGTTCTAGGAATATGGAGGGCAAAGATGGGCCCCTCATAGTCTGGTGGAGACAGGCGTTAATGAAATCATCACTTTAATGTATGTAAAAGATAAACCAAGATCCATTCAGCGCTCTAGCCAGAGATGGGCAGATCTTGAGGGCAACTGCCCTATTTGTCCCATGCTGTCAGGGGCTCACGCTGTCAGGGGCTATACAGCACCCGGACAGAGTCTGCTGGTTGTTGGGGAACAAGGGGCAAAACAGGGTGACCATGGCCAGGCCCCTGATCTCCTTGGGCCTCGGGTTTCCCGGGGTGAGCCACTGGGGGGGTTGAACCTCTCAGAGTCTTTCCTACTCTGTCATTCTGTAATGCTGTGATTCCTGGAAGCCACCCCGAGGAAGATGGATGAAGCCACATGGGGAATCAGAGAGAGGAAGTGGCCAGTTTCGTGTCACACATGAGTCAGGGGCAGAGGCGGAACCTGCGCTAGAACTCTGCTCCCTCGATTCCTGGTCCAGTACTCACCTGAGCCTCACTGCTGTCCTGAAGTCTCGGTCTCGGGGCGTGTGGGGCCTCAGGGCCAGGCTGCTGAGACAGGATCAGAACGAGAAGGGTGTACATGGGGCCCCTGTCTCAGCCACTATCAGCTACCAAGCCTGGGGAGGCAAAAGGGGAAGGAGGCCATTTCATTCCATCTGGTATCCTCGAATATGAGGGCTGGCAGGATCTGCTTCCTCTTCCTCTCTCTGCTGCCCCTCCGAGAGGGCAGCTCACACTGGGCCTCCTCAGGCTGGAACCTCAGGTCAAGTCAAATCAAAATGAGAACTGAAGTAAAGTACTAACTTCTTATCTTCAAATGTGCAGATGGGGAAAGGATTCAGTGAGGTGACTTCAAGGGCAAATGGCATGTGAACCAATCCTGCCAGTGGGTTCCCAGGCTACATTAATGGAAGTATAGTTTCTAAACCAAGGGAGGGGATGGTTTTGCCATGGTCAAAGCCTAAATAAGACACTCCCTTCTCTTTCTGGGAACACTAGATCTAGTATGGGCATTGTCAAGGCGCACATCTCCATCACAGAGGGGGCAGGGGTGGGGTAGGGTGGGGGGGGAGTCCAGAAATCATACCTAGATGTAATATTAGAAGTAGTAGTGGCTATTCAATCTAGAGAAGTGCTTTCTCCAACTGTGACTCAAAGCGTGAGCTCATAGACATCACCTGAGAGCGTTAGAAATGCAAGAGCTCAGGCCACCAGACCTGCTGAGTCAGAATCAGCATTTCAGTAAGACCCCCCCAGGAGAATCATATGCTCCCGAATTAGTTTAAGAAGCACTCCTCTAGACCAGTGGACTTTAGCCAGGCTGCACACTGGAATCGCCTGGAGAGATTTCAAAGTGTGAACGACTGGGTTTTGCCCCCTAATTTCTGAGGTGGTCCGGGCACAGGGAGAGTCGACAATTCCCCAGGTGATTGAATGTGAAGCCAGCGGTGAGAACCACTGTCCAGACAGAGAAGGCTCAAAGATGGGGCCCTAGAATATGCTCAAATCCCTGTAGGGCTGTTACGGGAAAAGGGAGCCTCATTCTCTGTGGCCCTTGAGGGTGGAGCAAGGACCAGCTGGAGGAAAACCCCAGGGGCAGGTTGGCATTAGGGAGAGTGAAGAACTAACAGGCAAGAGAGCTGCCCAACGATAGAACAAATTGTAAGCTTCTTCCCTGGATGGCCGTGCTGAAATCAATGATCACTCACACACAATGCGGCAGGGGAATTCCCTGTCAGAAAGGGATGTTCAAGTGGACCTTGAGGTCCCCGTCCTTCCCTGCCGATTGGAGAGGCCATGGGGAGCTAAAGGTCAAGGCCTGAGCTGGGCAGTTTAGCAAGAGGGACTCACCCGCCCCCCAACCATTTCTCCTATATAGGGACAGCGGCTTCTCCAGCCAGGGTGTAGACATCTATGTGGAGATGAGGCCTGTCTCTACTTCTTCTTCAAACGACTCCTTCTCTGAACAAGGTGAGGAGGTACTGGGTTGCAGGTCAGGGAGGGGCAGAGAGGGGCAACTGGGGGCTGGACAGGGAGGGGCAGGCAGGGGTGAGGTAGGGCTGCGCTGACACCTCTTCCCACACCAGACCTGGACAAGGAGGATGGGCGACCACTGGAGTTGCGGGACCTGCTCCACTTCTCGAGCCAGGTGGCCCAGGGCATGGCATTCCTTGCTTCCAAGAATGTGAGTTGTAAACTGCGTCTGAGTGTGGTCACCCAGGGGGGTGGGAGGCAGCTGAGCCCCGCCCCCCCACGTGAGGCTGGATGACTGACGATGAAGGGGAGGAAAGGGGAGCACATGATGGAGCCAAGGAGGAGCCAGCGTGCCAGAGAGCAGGTGGGCAGCAGCCACACGGCCTCTAGGAGTGAGCGGGAGAGACCTACGGCTGCGAGTTCCTCCACCATGGGACGGTGGGAGCCCAAGCCTGAGCAGACCCGTTTCCCTGGTGTGCAGCAGACCACGGAGGACCCCATGTCCAAGAACAGGCTTTATTCCTTCGGTTTTGGTCGACAGTGTGAACAAGACAACCATTGTGTCCTTTTGTGAAGCCCCCGGTCTCATGGGGGGTAATAAGGGAACCTCCCTGAGTTGTGAGGGTATGAGAAGACATGTGCAACACACTCAACCCACGAAGTTCCCAGCGAGTGGGAGCTGTGACCGTCCTCCTTACAGCAGATTTGGGAGTCCGGAGTTTTGATTGGTGGCTCGGCCATTTGCTGGGTGACTTTGAGCAACTATTGCAATTCTCTGAGCCTCGGTTTCTATACCTGGAAAAATGGGCACAATCACAGGGTTGTCTTAAGGGCAAAAGAGGGTAATAATGTGGGCAGATGCTTAGAGAAGAGCCTGGCACGGTAGGGCCCTGGAGGTAGCAGCTGCTGTTATTAGTACCTGGGGGACGGGGCGCAGAGGTTGTTCCCAGCGCTAGGGCTCACTGCTTCTTGCCCAAGCGGACTGCCCGAGCTCTAAGGCAGCAGCCGCTGCTCAGGGCCAGAGGGCCACAGTGATGGTGCTTTTTAAATAGTGAACCATCCGACCGCATTGAATTTCCTCAGACCTGGGTCTTGGTAGAAGGTAGGGACAGGAGCCAGAATAGAGGACCAAAATGGATGCCCACTCCCTCAATGAGGAGCCCAAGGCCTTCTGGGGCCCTGTCTGCTCCCCCTGCACCTCGGGCTCAAGTAGGGGAGGGGCTGAGACTAACTCCGAAAGCCCTTCCCTTCAGTGCATACACCGGGACGTGGCAGCACGAAACGTCCTGCTGACCAGTGGGCGTGTGGCCAAGATCGGGGACTTTGGGCTGGCCAGGGACATCATGAATGACTCCAACTACATCGTCAAGGGCAATGTGAGTACTAGGGAGGGTAGGCCAGGCTGGGGAGGGGGCAGTGAGCCAGGGTCCGAGGTGACTGGGGTCTGCTGTGCCAGGCCCGCCTGCCCGTGAAGTGGATGGCTCCAGAGAGCATCTTCGACTGTGTCTACACGGTTCAGAGTGACGTCTGGTCCTACGGCATCCTGCTCTGGGAAATCTTCTCACTCGGTAAGCCACCGGCCCAGGGCGGGCTTGGCCTGGGGCTGACTCATGTTCGGTTACCATGGTGTCCTGTACCTCGTGGAGGATGCCAGTCAAGGATACTTGGTGCCCAGGGCACAGCAAAGGCTGCTGGGAGTGAAAACCAAGCAGTGCACCTCCTGCATGGGCTGGGCAGACGCTCCATGCCACCTGGCATTCCGTCCAGACTCTTCCCTCGTCTGCCTGCCCGAGCGGTTGCTGCTTCCTTGAATGGTTTTCCCTCATACTGTGTGCTCCTGCTTCTGGAGCTCTAGGCACAGGGACTTGGGCTAAGCCCTTCAACGAGCTCCTCTAACCTCTTATTCCAAAGCCTGTGCTGGAGTTCTCTGTGGGGTGTGATGAGGCCTGGGCGAAGGCTCCCCAGTTCCATCGAAGCCTACGCCCTTTGTAACTCTTCACACCCCAGCCTCACCAAGAGGTAATGTGGGTGTGGGGGCAGGTGAAGGTGAGCACTGAGCGTGGTCTCCTACATGATCTCGGCCTTTGCAGGGCTGAACCCCTACCCTGGCATCCTGGTGAACAGCAAGTTCTATAAACTGGTGAAGGATGGATACCAAATGGCCCAGCCTGCATTTGCCCCAAAGAACATGTAAGTGCAGGACCCCAGGGAGGGAAGAGGGTACCCCAGGCTTTCGTTGAAGGAGACGAAATGTGTGTGTGGTCCCAGTCTCCCTGCCCAGTGTTCCAGAGCCAGGCTTTATCTCCCCCCAGTGGGCCAAACCAAGCCCTTTTCCACTGGCTTCCCAGGTAGCCTAGAGGATGTGCTCCAAGGACTCTTAACTGGGACTGGTCCTAACTCAAATAATAGGTTTTTAAGTCAGACTCTCTTACTATGACCTCGAGGAAGGCTCCTGCCATTTCTTCCGTCCTGGCACCCTGTGGTGTCGGCCAGCCAGCCACAGCAGCCTCTCCACCACGAGCCGCCGACTCCCCACCCTTACCACAGCCTCTGCGCAAGCCAGCGGGCCACGCATTCACCCACTACACCTTCCCCCGCCACTCTCAACACGGCCGCGCCTGGTGCCCAGCCAGGCCCTCGCGGCCTGCCGGCTCACCAGCTCCACAGCCCCTGCAGCCCCTCTTGCCCTGTTAAGACTCTTGCTACAGTCAGCCGCTCGCTCATCGCTCAGCCCACCTGGCAAACCGATCTGCAGGCAGCAAGGGCACCCCTTCTTGGTTCTAGGAGCTTGGGCAAGAGAGCATCTCTGAGTTTTTTCTCCTTTCAGCTGTCAAATGGGCGTGATGGAAATACCTTCCAAGGGCTACTGGGGAGATTAAGTAAGACAAGCATGTCAAGGACTTAGCACAGGTCTCATGTCAGACTCGCTTCTCACTAGGCTTCAGGCCCTCTGCTGGGCGAGACTGAGGGGCTGTGTGTGCATGTGCACAGGGGAATGGGTCACGGTCCCCAGGCCCACAGGCAGCTTCTGTTCTGTCTCAGATACAGCATCATGCAGGCCTGCTGGGCCCTGGAGCCCACCCGCAGACCCACCTTCCAGCAGATTTGCTCCTTCCTCCAGGAGCGGGCCCAAGTGGACAGGAGAGAGCCGGTGAGTGGGGCCAGCCTCAGGGTGGGTGGCTGGCTCCAGCAGGCCGGGTGGGGCCTGAGCCATCAGGACTGACCACCCCCGGCCTCTCGCACCCTCAGGACTACACCAACTTGCCAAGCAGCAGCGGCGGCGGAGGCAGTGGCAGTGAGCCAGAGGAGAGCTCCAGCGAGCACCTGGCCTGCTGTGAGCAGGGGGATATCGCCCAGCCCCTGCTGCAGCCCAACAACTACCAGTTCTGCTGAGGAGACGGCCAGGAAGCTCTGCTTTCCCCTTCCTCCAAGCTTCCACTCCACCGTGGATGGGGCACCGCGGGGAGAACCTACAGACTTTGCCCTTGGTCATTTCACTCAACAGCCCGGCCCAGCTCTGAAACTCAGGGATGTGAGATCCACGGGAGTTTGGGGAGGACCCCCCTTCCGCGGCCTGGGCCATCACTGCCAGTCAGGGGCTAGGGCTGAGCCCCCCGCCCACTGTTCTCAATGCTATGGCCTCATGTTCCCTACGCCAACTGGGAGAACCCCCAGCTCTCTCTTAACCTTGTTCCCACGTCCAGGTACCCCTTTCCCTACTCCCCATTATCTCGTTGGAAATGGACCGGTTTTGTGCCTACCAAGTGCCCCAATGTTGAGACCAAGCTCCTTGGGCCTTGGCAGAGTAGAAGGACCCCCTCTGTAGCCAGGTGAAACGGCAAGAGCAAACAGGTGCTCACACACTGTGCCTGGCTCAGGCACCTAAGAGCAGGGTGGCCCCTTTCTACGAACGAACTGTACCTCCTAGGCCCCACCCACCCTGGATCTGATTGCTACAATGAGCCAGGTGGCAGCTCCAAGTTCGGGGTTCTGCCCAGTCCCCCGTCATTCTGAGTTGGAAGGCAGGGGGCCTGTGTGGCTGGCCACACCAAGAAAGCAGCATGCACTCCACCAAGCTGACCCCCTGTAACTAACAGTCGCCCTGTGGGATGTCTCGGTCATTAAACTAACAGCATTAACACAGCTGGCCTCTGACCTCCGATTCTCTGTGCCACTAGGGGACCTGCGGATTCCCTGGGGCCTCTTCCATCCTCCTTCACGTTGAGTGGCCAGCTCAGCATCTCGGGTGCTCATCCGCACTGTGCCCTACACAATGAGCATGGAATTGACTCCCGCTTCACCAAAACAGATAATTTAATAAATTTTATTCTTGGTGGGGGAAGGAGGGGAAAAAAGCCACCTACTCCACTCCTCTCAATAAATTAAATAACACACGGCCAATTCCCGTGCCCTAAGCAAACCTTAGGCACTTAAGCCAGTCCCGCTGTTTCCTTATGGCCCAGTCTGCTTCCCCTTCACAGAAGGGAGTTTTTCCTACTGCCGCCAGGTTATGTCATGCCAACGGGCCACATCCCCTCTGTGGCGAGGGTCCAGGGCCCAGAAAGGATGTAAGGTGCAGCAGCAGTGGCCAGGAAAAGGAGGAAGGGGATCCTCTTCCTCAAAGCTCAGGGCAGAGAAGACAGTCCTGGAAGAACACTGTGGCTGTTTCTCCCTCCTCAGCTTCCCCCCAATTTAGGTGCAGGAAGAGTAGGAGGGAAACGCATCCCTCCTCTGGGAAAATCAAGAGCCCGAAGGGACCCCTAGAGCTAATGAGGCCCCTAAGGCCCCAAGTCAAAGGCAACAGGCTAAGGAAGTCGTGTGGCTGCAGGGGCTGGCAAGAGTGTCCCCCAGGGGTGGGAAGGGATACCTCAGCAGCCTTCCCACCTAGCGCCGGACTCTGCCTCAGCCTACCCCAGGACCTCCACCCTGACCTGCAGGAGGCCCGAGGGAAGCTACCAGCTACCAGCATTCCCTCAGCCTCCCCTCCCCTTTGCTGAACATTCTATGTCCCCCAAGTGCTCTCTCAGGGCCAGTAAGGAGTGTCCTGGTGCTTCTCCTGACCCTCAGAAGATGGAGAACCACAGACCCGGGGCCCCACCATGCTCAGGAAATGGAAGCTCTTTGGTCAGTCCCAGCATCAGAGGCCTCCCCAAAGGTGAACACTCCCGCCAGTCCCATGGATGGATCTGCCTCGGGCAAGGGCCTCACTATGGCTTGAGATGGTGCAGTCCCTGTGCAAGAGCCCGGCTTAGACTGTCACTGCAGCCACCTCCTCTTCCTCACCCTCCTCCTCTGCCTCTGTCTTGATCTGAGCTACCCCAAGGCGGTAGAGGGTGTCTCGGATGACCACCTCGCCAGGCTGGCAGCTCTGCACGATGTCATGGATCTGCCGGTTGACTATCTCACGGCTGGTGAGGAAGTCCATGAGGCGGTTGTAGAGGTAATAGTGGGTAGCATTGTCAAAGGCAATGGGCCGCTGGCGGACACTGTTTGGTTTGCTGTCTGCAATGGAGGCCAGGATGGTTGCGTAGGGTGCCAACTCAGGGCACAGGGCTGAAGAGTGGTGCCCAGTACTGGGGTCACCAGGACTGGGCTGTGTGTCTACATGGACGATATGACGTGTGGCAGTCTTGGTGACTGGGTGCTGGACGGAGTGCTCAGCCTCCATCATGTCCACAGTATAATGCTGGTCCAAGAGTTCTGGGCAGGATACACTCTAGAGAAGAGATAAGAAACCACTGTGACATGAGGGAATGACTAAGGTAGAAGCTGTGGGGTGGGTGAGAGTGAAGGCGGGGGGCGTGTCAGTCAGCCCCATTTAAACCCTCACGTCACCACATATGCTCACATCTCGAGGCAAGTCCCCTCTCCTCTTCCTCTCTCCTCGTGAAGACGGGGACAGTGACAGCGGCCACCTCCCAGAACAGATGCTGGATCGCCTGAGCTGTTACTGCTTATTACCATGCCTAGTCAATTCTGGCTGGGGCTGCAGGGGAGTGGGGAGCGGGGCTCTCGCTGAGGCTCAGTTGCCTTTTGGCAGTGCCGGGCACAAGCTCACAGAGCCACTGAGTCCAGGGAATAAGGAAAAGGTTGAGTGATGACAATGACGCCTCCTTCTTCCTGTTGCCAGTCCTAACATTCTTCCCAGCAAAGGGCACGTGCGTCTGGTAGGAATCACAGTCTGGTACAAAGCACCAAAATACAGAGACAAGGGCTCTGCCCCTTACCTGCTGTGCGACACTGGCTAAGTCCACCTCCCCTCTCTGGACTTGACTTTACCTTTTACTAAAAGGAGAGGGTGGGATACAGTGGTGTTTTCTAAGCCTCTGCGCCTCTAGATCACAACAGGTATGCCATGCAGTACATTCATGGTCAGACCTAAGATCTGACTGGTCCGGGCCTTTGGTACTCCAGTGTGCAGCAATTTCATAGGCTTGTCTGGAAGGCAGGCGACCCCTGTGACTCCAAAATACCTGTGTTTGGGACACCCTGGGCACCCTAAGTGACATGCTGGGGCCTCACACACACAGAGCTTGATCAGTAAACATTTGTGGAGGAAATGCTGGCTCACGGCATCAAGACAAAATATTAGTGGAGACAAAGGATGCTGGAGATGGTTCCCAGAAGGCCTTCCCAAACAACCAGGAGGAGAGACATGGTCAGTCTGTGGGACTGTTTCCAGTTCCTCAGAAGGGAACTCACCACAGGTGGCTCTGCGGGGCTAGAAAAACAGCCCTGGTTCCTCCCCCACATCTGGTTGGTCAGCTCTGGGTAGCAGAGGTCAGCACACAGGGCCACTGGTGTGGCCATGTCTACCACGTAGACAGGTGGCCAATGGCGGGAAGAGACAAGCAGATCCACATGGTCGCGGGCACTCTCGCCCCGCACAAGATACTTGGAGCCACAGATCACCTGAGCAGGGAGATGGGAGGGCACAGCAGAGGGTTAAGAAGCCAATCACCAGACAGAGTTGAGTCTTCTTCCCATAAAGATGAATAATCAGGTTTCGTGACTAAAGCCATGGCCGTCCTGCCAGAGCCCATCACATTCTGCTTCCTATTTCTGTCCCTAAATGAAGTCGCCAGCTCATCCCTGACTTCCTGAGAGAATACAGCTGGGAGCATCTGGTCTTCAATTGAGGCTGAGAGGCCCCCAAGGGCATCTATTCCAAACCCCACCCTCCACACTGCCCTACCAAGCACCAGTCCAGGGGCTCCAACTCCCAGCCACACAGCACTGGCAGCTCACAGCTGGTTAGAGATGGAGGTTCCTGTGCCTTACCCCACAGCCAAGAAATTAGCCCCTGGGGGTGGGGTCTGAGCATCTGTATTTTGAGCAGCTCCCCACCAGACCCGGATAGGCTGCCCAGATGGGAACCTCAATGTAGACTAGTAAACACCTCCAATGACAGTGCCCCCCAGGTGCCACTTCATTGCTGGGGAGGGGGAGCTCTGTGTATAGTGGGGGATCCTGCATCGGCCTCCACCTCCCTACCTTCACCCCCACCAGTCTTAGCTATCACCTCCTAGTAATATTGCTTGCCCATCACAGCCCGGAAGCTCTGTAACTCTCATGGCCCCATGTGGTCAAGTGCCTCTCACGAGATGGTCCCCAGTCACAGGAACACAGTCCTCTAAGCAGGCTCTGTTCTGCCAGAGGAAAGGCATCCAGTCCGTCCCTAAAACACAGCTTTGGCCGAAGTAGTTGATAATCAGATTCTCTTTTGACAGCCAGTTGCCATGCCCCCTCATGCACCTGAGTGAACTGAAGGCTCTGCTAGCAATCCCTCCCCCATTCAGTACCTGTTCAGGGGGTTTTCGACCCCAGTATCTTCCTGGGCCTGCTTTGTCATATAGTGCACAACCTTCCCAGAGCTATCCCAGTGCCTGCCCTGTCTGCACTCTACAGACATGAGGCATGCTCTCTTTAAACCAAAATCAGAAACTACGTCCTCCCAAATTCCCACTGAGAACTGTCCACTAGGCCCCTTACCACCCTCACAGGGAAACCCAGACTGCTACTGTGGCCTACAAAGCTCTGCATGATCTGGTCTCTGCTCACCCCTCCAACCTTCCTCTTTTGGGCTCACCAGGCTTCCCCACTCAAGACTTACTGGTCACCCTTCCCTCTGCTGGAACATTCTTTCCCTAACTCATCACTGGGCTCTCACTCAGCCTTCTCTGGCTGCCCCAGACAGCAGGTCCTTCTCTGTTGCCTTCTATCTCAAGACTTTGTCTAGTTCCTTCAAAGCTAGCGCCCTAAGCCATGGTGGCTCTATTTCTCCTCTAAAATGAGGTCAACTAGAGAAGAATGAATCTTCACTGCTCACCTCTGTACCCTCAACAGCTGACGCAGGGCCAGGATGTGAAAGGGTGCTTAATACTCACTGGTGA